ATGTATAGTTTACAAAGGTTTAATAAAGCACACCTAACTAACCTGACAGAGGGTTAATTTAAAAAAAAAAAAAAAAAGTATTAAAATATAATAGCAACTATATATACAATAAAGATATGTTGTGTTAATCTGACTGTGGATCAAAACAATATATTATTTTTAAAATTAAACTTATAGACTTTTATATTTTTAACAAGTTAATTAGATTTGTTATAAAAGTTTAACTATAATATATAATATACTACTTGAATAAATATATTTTAATTAAACTTTTTTAAGATAAAAAGTTTGTCGTTTATAAATGCAAAGATTTTTCATTATGTTACATATTAATATTATATTTTAATATTATCTACTATATACTATATAAAAAAGTACACCTTATATAGATATCAATCTTTAACTTGTAGCACGGACCCGATAATCAATAGTTAAAAACCGATGCGTCAAGTTAAACTTCTCACGTGATTAAAATGTTTATACGACTCGTTCAGCTGTTGCAGTATGAATTTCATTTCAAAACAATTAGCTTGCAGCCCAACGGAAAAGAAAACAGACAACTACTCAACAGAAGAGAAAACGCAGTTTCAGAAAGCAAATAAGAATTTATTTTAGCTTCAGAGAAAAGAGTTTGCTTAAAATGCCGTCTGATGAAGGAAATCTATCGGGAGCTTCGAAACTTGTGTGGCTTTCGTCTTCGGATTTGCAGAATAATGAAGATTTTGAAGACTGCTCCTCGTTGTCTTCATGGGAGGATTCTTCCGACTTTGATGAAAGCGATATTGATTCTCCTTATGTCACGGACTTAACCACTTTACCATCAAAGGACACATCATCTTGCTCGATCTTTAGTGTGTTAAAACAGGAAGATGCGAAGAATATAGGATTCATATGTCAATCCTCCCGGGAAACATTTTCCAAGTCACCAAAGCATTCAAGCATGAAACCTCGAAAAGATGAAAATCGAAAGAAGCATCTACCCATGCGTGATACTCCAGGGAATCCATTGCTTGGTTCAAAAATTGAAAAAAATAAAACGATGGTTACGCAAAATGATTTCGCCCAGGTTTTTCGGGGAAGACGGTTTCCGGTCCCGCCGAATTATTATGATTACAATGATCAGGATGATTATTACAAAAATTCGGACATCAAACCACGAAATCTTTTGCCTCTTCTACTTTCCGAAGCAGCAGTTTCCAAATCCGTCGTTCATACATTGAGCAAAGGGGTTGATTGCAATAGCGAGAACATGGAAAATCCATTTCTCACGGATGAATCTGAAGCCGAGGAAGATTCAGAAGATTCCTCGGATCGATCAAGAAGAAAACGCATCACCGATTATGTCAAAGGTTCTAAACGATACCATCCTCATTCTAAGACGGCAGCCTTAAGAAAGAAGATTCGACTCGATTGAGTGATACCATCAGTCTTGTGATCTCAAGGCATGATGAGGGTTACATGCATAGTAATGATTTTGGGTGTGGAAACACATATATTTCATCTTGCAATTATAATAATAAATAAAAAGAAGATCTATTCTATTTCATGAGAGAACATGAAATCTTGGGGGTTCGCGTCCCTTACTCAACACTCCGATGTGAACATAAAATAAATATATCGATTATCAAATTTACATTAGACAGATCACATGATAGCAAGAGAGCCCATCGGGTCCCAAGCGGGTAAAACATTGGGAGGTTGCTCCAATATCTCTACATACTCTTGAGGTGCATCTCTCTTTTCTAGAACTATTTGATAAACCCAATCGCTAAACCAATCATCGCTCATGACGAAGTAACCCTTTTCTCCACGGTCTTCACCCCAGGAATTCTCAACTCGCCAACGAACAGGCTTACCGTTCTCGAGGTGTACGCCTGTTGGGCAAGTGAGAATTAATAAAAAATAAAAATAAAAAAATAAATCCATAATTGAACAAGAAAAAGGTTTACCTGTGAAAACCATAGCGTGCGTCATCAAGCTCTGACCATATTGCAACCTTTGGGCTTTCGTCAGACGAAACTTGATGTTGAATCCCAATTCGTAGTCAATAATTTTGTTATCCAATATTCCTATCTCTGAGTCACTGGATTTTCCAACGTCGGCGCCAAACCAAACTGGTTTTCCCGCGCGTAAAGTTTGAATGGTGAGGAGTTTCATCGCTTCAATTGGAATGTTGACGTAACGAATCGGGAAACCGCCTTGAATGTTGCCGAGATACTCAACAGTATACAATTTTAAGAAGTCATTACGAGGATCGTTGATGAGAGAGAATGTCTCTGTCGCCTGAATTATCGAATATCCTTATAATAAGCAAGCCTTTTCGAGGTTACATTACGAGAGATACCCTCTTTTTTTTTTTTTTTTACCTTGTAACCGATGTGCTCACGATAAAACTTCAATGGCGTTAGTCCCTTGTACTCGTAGAACCTTCCATCTTTGTCGCGGAAAGTCCAATCGAACTCTTTAGGTGGTTCGCCAAGAGAGATTGCCAGAATACGATAAATTTGCTCCATCATCTTAACCTTGATGCGCCTTAAAGATTCGACACTACTTCCAGAAGCATGTAACTCACGCAACTGATGGGCAAACTCTCGGAGTTTTGTTGTCACCAACCAATTGAGTTTGGATGAATTAGATGAATTGTAACTTTCTGGAAACACCTAAATATACAAAAAGAGTGATCATGATATGGGACATAATTTCGATATACGTATATATATATATGCATTTTTTTTTTTGCTTACGGTTTTAGGGACCACCCCATATTTCTCCAAAATATTGATGATCATGTCCCATTGACCCCCGTCATTCACCGGGGCCTGAATTAAATATTGGATCAGACGCGAATCAACTTCCTTATCGGCAATCGCAATCATGTTCTCAAGGAAAACTATGAAAGAAAAGACGATGGGTTTCATGAATTTGTGATGTTGATGTCAAAATTTAAAGCGAGAAATCCGTTCGTATATCTACAATTTGCCTTTTCAAGTTTATCGTAAAAGAACATATAAGGTTGTGATAACTCGAATTCTTCCAATTTATACCTAGACAATATGATGGCAAACCATTGGCGAATCATTTTTTTTTTTTTAAAAAAAAAACCAGATTAATATTGATGTTCCCAAGTCTCACTTTTTCATGACGATCAATCGTAGGACATTGGTAGCGGCGAATATCCAACAACGTCCAGACGATCTTTGGTTAGTCGCCTTGCCTTCCAATTCAAGTTTCTCGGAAAACACATGGATATCACTGATGGTGGCCTGTATGAGCGCGAACCGGTTAAAAAATTGAAGCTGAAATGCCGATACATGTTCGGATAATAGAATAAAGTATGGTACCTTGCGGTTCAACAGCACTTTGTTCATGTCAGCACCTGTGATTGCATTCATCGCCATTCTATTCCTCGCGTCTGCCACAAACTTATCGCTGACAACAAGAAGTCGAGGGTGTTAGCAGCAGTGACCTAGTTTGTGTATATTTCGTATTCTTTCTCATGCGCAGCCATTTACGCTACTTAAAATAAATTCGTGGAAAAGGAACGACTTCTTACGAGAACTTTCCTATGATTTCTTCGCTTAAGACATCACTTGTATATTCTCCGTATTCATTTCTATCTTCCGAAGAGTTCGACGAGTGCTTCTTGGTAAAATTCATTTCTTCCTTTCAGTGAAGACCCTGCCAATGCTGCGTCTGTATTTCTTATAGGTGTAACCGTGCGCCGGGGTCCAATAGAATCGCGAAAATGTGACTGCTAGAATGGATTCGAATTTTTAAATTATCTTCTCAATCTGTATAGATTGATTGTATTGTACCACCTTAACTTCTTTGCATGACACCGATATATTTAAAATTAAAAATTGGGGTAGACACTATCGGTTCTATCTAACTGAAATTTCATTTTTCACAAAGAATTAAGGATATTACCTCGTAAATATACTTCGCAAATCTTATTATTTAAAAATTCTATATTTGGCAAAACCCAAAAATGTATTGCATTATCCGGCACCGTCCAATCATAAACCAGTATCTGGCACACCCAAAAAGCAAAACCTATAAAAACGTTATTAGAATTCAGATGCCAATTTCCATCGACAACATTGGACTTTCAGTTCGTGCGGAAGTCACAAGTATAAAAACTCTACATTTTGGTGAAGACGATTTTTTCCTCAAACATTCACCGACTGGAATCATTGAAAACCAGACTTGACAAAGTACTCTTTTTGAGCCTCTCTCCAGAAATAACCGACAATAAATAATTAAACTGGAAGGCGTGTAGTTCTTTGTTTTCTGAAAATGGAGGCACTTTCGATTTCTAATGTTCACCACTGGCTAGTATCCTGGCCGTTTAACCAGTCCTCGGCCGTGATCATTCTGACCATTTGTGGCCTATTCCTGACACCCCTCCTAATTTCAAGGAGCTCTCGAAGAAACATAAATAAAGTTTCGGAAGGTAGGTTGAATTATGTATATACATATGTATACATATCATACCTTTTGAGTATTGATATGTATGTTCTCTAAAACGAAATTTCAGAAGAACCAATTATTCAAAATAATTCCAAAAGTGTTGTTGTAAGAAATAAACAATATCGAGCTGTTCACATTCCCCACGAACTTGGATCGAACGTTCCTTTGATGGTGTTCATTCACGGGTTTGGTGGACAGGTCAGAGCTATTTATAATATATATATATATATGCGGTTTTTTTTTTTTTTCCCACAAGGACAAGGTCTCTCCCCTTCTGATTATAACATCCTATTCCAAAATATTCAATTAAGGCTGCACAATGGGAACATCAACTGGAATACTTTTCCTCCGCTGCCAACGTATTGGCTGTAGATTTACTCGGTTGTGGAAAAAGTGAAGTGTCAAACAGGTAAGAAACTCTCGCCGGTATCAGAGATCTCGGATTTGACATTCATCTTCACTAAACGGGAATCTCATTTACCATCCAAGGCCAGATGATTATAAGACCGAATCTCTGGTAGACGACCTCGAAGAGTTATTGAAATCATTTCCAAGTGAAAATAAGGTTTTGATTTGCCATTCATATGGCTGTTGTCTAGGCGCATTTTTGTACCAGCGAATCAAAAATACCGTTAAAGCCATGACCCTTATTTCGGTAAAGGCAGAAATGACTGAAAAAGAAATGAATAAACGTAAGCTCCTCAAATTCACCCCCGATGCTTTTTTCGATTTAATCCGCGCCTTGGACCGTCGCGGTGGAATACATTCTCAAAGCGTGAATCGCTTGTTACATGATGGTGCCAGTGTTTCATTAAGAACGAAGCAACTTAGATGGAACTTACAATCGAAGACTTTTGTCTGGAAAAATATGTTTTTAAGGGCGAAATGGATTGGTAGAGACGATGTCGGTGCAATCGAATGTCCAATATTGTTATTGACGGGGCAAGATGTACGGACGACGGTTTCGTGTCGCACGTCTAATTAAGTTTGTTAATTACATCATTATTTATCTGAATTTCTCATGTAGGACAAAATTTGTTCCAAAAGTGATATGTTGACAGTTCACGAATGGTGCAGATCTCAAAATACTCCTGCACCAGTGGTAATTCCTCGCGCGGGACACAATCCGATCCTGGAGAACTATCACCTGGTTAGTCGAATAATAAACGATTTCCTTATCAAGGGTTGTCGTTTGGAGACGATGGATCCAGCCTGGCAGATTTTAAATAAAACGAAAGGGGAAAACAAATGGTCCATGAAGAACTATGAAAAGGTGTGCCAGTGAAGAAATCAAATTCATGTCGTCAGCTGTGTTGACCTACTAGTGTACCTCGAAACACGCAAGTTTTCTTACTATGATGGAATTCTTGGTTTGACGCGTGAATTTTCAGCCTCACCTTGTATAACTGAGAAAATATATTACCATACCATAGACGATCTAATCGGTTTCATGTTGTCTCTTTGTTATTCTATTCTATTTATTATTATTATTATTATAATTTACAGTGGAAAGGCGCACCGATAATATCCGAACAAAATGTGGATCACACCAAGTTTAGGCCTATGAAGGTGAGTAAAACTCGTTATTCGACGCGTCTTGAAGTCATTTTTCACTCACGAATATCCTCATCTGCCAATGAAAGGTCATGAGACAGAATGATGATGAACACTGTCCTGAAATATTTATCGCCAAACATCCCGAAATAGGATTGTGTGTAAAAACATGAATTCTCTATTTCTAAATTTCATTATTCTTTATATGTAATTAATTAATTGATGAATTTTTCGGATAGCGTCATTGACATCACCAAAGACCCTCCACCTTACGTCACTAGCGATTTCGAAGATTCGCATATTACATACATAAAACTTAGCACAGTCAGCAAGATACCTCCTTCGCGCGAGGAAACGCGGCGGTTCATACAAGCGGCGAAAGATGCGTGGAACAAAAAACCGGATAAACAAATAGCCGTGCACTGTCATTATGGGTAATTTTTATTTCTAGTTGCATTTGTTGCCTCTCCCCTCTCTTTTAATTATTCCCAATAAAACTAGTTTCAATCGCACCGGATTCATGATTTGTTGCTTCATGATTGAAGAATTGGGTGTGTCCGTGACCGATGCTATCAAATACTTTGAGGAAGCAAGAAAACCCAAGGGAATCAAGTATGTCATTTTCCTCCGCTGATTTCCTAACATTTTCCACCGCTTCTCACATCATTTCATTTAGGCACCGACATTTTAAGGAAGAATTGTATTTGCGTTATGAACCACCACCGCGTCTAGATTCATGTCACGAGATCCATTCCGAAAATTCATCTGGTTCTGATTGTTAGTCCAAATAATTTTTCGTCATTTACTTAATTTATAATGAATGCAACATAGTATCAAGATTTTCTTTTGTATATTATTATTCACATCAATATATAATACACTTTCACCCTCCACCATTCATCGTGTAACTTGACCTCTACCTATCCTCGCGATTCATATTTACTCATAGATCGACTTTTTCTTGTAGAAAATTTTCTCGGTTCCTATATACTGTGTATATATTCATATATACATACTACACTTATATTGTTACATATTGTATATACTCTTATCAATAAACCTATAGTACGTCGATTTTACTCAGACGATCAATATGCATTAATTCTTCCGGTTTAATCACGTTTCAGTCGATTCTCGTAGACACCCTTATTTGATACTTGTCCCACCATTGCGTTAATTCCCGTTGATCTCAATTCAAGATTCCGTGTATTTGAAAGGCGATCAAGAGAAAATATAAATATACACCTGTTCATCGATCTTTAAATTTCTAAATTTTAAATCTGATTGCAATGAAATTTATAATATAGATAGTGTATATACCAACATATAGATTAAAATAGTGATTAAATTAAAAAAAATTTTGTGATAAAATTTATTGGTGCACGATTTTGATTTTATATTTTATACAATTTTGTAAACTGTACATATATTTATGTATTGCTAAAACTAATTCTTTAATTAACTTATTCATCTTTGTTTTATAAATTTTTTTAAGATTAAAAATAAAGACTAATAAAAATTATAGTAGATAAAA